TCTAGGACTTAGAACATGGGGTCGACGTAGGGTGCAAATATTTTATTTAGTACTGCGTTGGCCGGGTCTTGAACTTGAGGCATCTTGGCTCTGATTTCACATTAGAGGAGCAACTTATCTGTATTGCATAGCCCAAGGAGCAAATATATATTACAAGAGACTTGGAGTACAAGCAAGGAAATCTAGACTAATATGACTACATATGGAGACCTAGACCAATATTAATACCACTAATACTCCTTAACGAAGCACTCCTGCCTGCCTCCAAAATGAGGCTGAAATCATCACAGGCAAGCTCAGAATCATTGTTGCCCATTGCATTTTCCCCCTCAAAGACTCATCTGTATCTTTCTTTTGAAAACTGCCAAGCTTTACAAGCAGCAGCAGAGATCTCGTTTATTTTTGTCATCCTTCTTCCCAAGGCACACTCTGCTCCGCCATTTTGGGCACTGAGAATTAGAGACAGCATCCGAGATTCTCGGCTGCTAGACATTTCCCTTGAACCACAACACTTTGGAGAAGGAACAGGGAAGGGTAAGGTTGGCAGCCGATTCCATATGTACAACTTTTCATGCTTGTTTGGACTAAGCTACAAGTTTTTACCAAATAAACTTTTACAATGTGGACTAGGAAGTCTCTTGTGATATTTGAGGTTTACTAAGGAGATAAACTACCTTCTCGAAGGGGATTCTATGTGATGTGATGGGGCTTTTTGGATATCACATATAAGTGATTTAGCAGACCACAAACACCTATGATTTTAGTATGGAGGTTTATGACTTGGTTTAGAGCTGCTTCAACCAGACCGCTTTTCCTTTATGTTTTCCTTTGTTTATTGTCGTACAATAATATTTATGTATTTTTGGTCATTGTGTCATTTTATTAGAACATCATTGGAAAGAAACATAAGTAGCTTAACTTACGAAAACAATTTCTATAGCTCCTTTTATTCCTTGCTTCGTTGAAGCTGAGCCTATATTGTACAATTCTATATTGAGACTACATTTTTTTGTAGGTTTTGTTTACGCATTTGCAAGAGAAACTCGCTATTACTGAGGTGAGTCACATTGAGCTTAGGTTGGAGTTCGTTCCTGATAAAGTAGCCCTTGTTATGCTTCACAGCTTAGTGCTGGGACTTTCTCACTGAACTTTGAATTTGCCTTTTGTGCAACTTGGATGATGCAGGAGAAACAGAAGGAATTACAGTACCAGATTGCTCGGCGTGCTGAATCTTCAAATATTACGGCACAGACACCTTCTCATCCTCCTGGAAATGCATTGGTTGCTTCTGTACGACGCTATCCTATTTTGTCCTTTATTCTCTGCTTACTCTAACTTCCTACATTTCCAGAGCCAAACCGACCTTGACATTGTGCCCCAGCAAGCATATCCTCATGTACAGCGTCCAATTTCTTATCCCGTTCGAGCTAGACGGGATAGGGGTTTATTGGCAAATGAGAACCGTCAGATCCTCCCAACCAAGGCTGCTCTGACAGACACTGAGCACGACAATGTTGGAAGGACCTCTCCTCCAAGAAGGTTATTATTGTAGTACTAGCTAATTGTGTGTTGCAACGGGGACATACATATTTGAGTGGTTCACATCAATTGTGTCACACGTATACCTTCCATCCACTATCTTTGCTTCCTCAATCCAATCTTACCACCTATGTCAATGGCTCATCTTACCACACACCATTGTTTTTAAGGCGTCCCGCCTTGGACGCTTAGGCGACGCTTAGGCGATAAGGCGCCCCCCCAGCGCCTTACAAATATGCCCGCCTTAGGCGCTTAGGCGTCCGCCTTAGGCGCTTAGGCGTCGCCTAGGCGATAAGGCGCCCCCCCAGCGCCTTAGGTCGCCTTACCGCCTTAAAAACTATGCCACACACACTTTCTTGTAAGTGGACCTGAAGATACAGTAGAAATCATACTGAGAAGAAAGTGTGCCTCTTGAACAACTCACGATGAATAACAGTATTAAGCAAATTGGTTGTTGAATGCTCAGGCAAATAATTTCCTTGAGTATATTTTATCAAGGTTTACATTTCACAACATCCTTCTTAAACGCTAGCCTTTGCATAGAACATTCGCCTTCTCACAACATTGATGGATCGCTAGGGCTTGGCAGCACTCGTAAAAAGATTTAGTACTATCAAAAAGTATTTCTCTACTTTGATGCAATGAAACAGGGAGTGATGCTCCTATTTTTCTTTAAAAATTATCATGTTTACCTGAAATTACATATGGTCCTCTCAAGCATTGACAACTGAAGAAGTGAAAGCAGAGTATCTGCATTATTGCTTAAGCTCATCTATTTGCAAATAATGGAGAACTTTATATCCTTGAAACACCAGTTTAGCCATGGCTGCAATGCACCAACGTAAGGCATGCCATTCTTTTCAATTTATGGTGTTTTTTTGTACAGTTTAACTTGTGCAGGGAACTTTTAGCAAAATGATTTTGTTAGTGAACAATTTCGATTATACGGATAGACAAACTTGGTTGTCTTATTGGGTCTGTCTTCTCTTGTTTATGCAGCAACCAATTTACCAAGTATGGTGTAGCAAAAGAAACTGAGCGTGATTCTCGTGCTGGACGATCCCGTGCTGTACGATTTAACTTTGAATCCAAGGATCAAAACCCATCATTCAAGGCCCCTGTTGGGGGTGATGTAACAAAAAATCTAGAAGGAGCGGAAACCCAAACTTCACGGGAACCTCCTGCGGAGTGGAGTCCTCAAGGCCCACCTAATTTGGTATCTGGCCTTGAGGGTGGGAACCTGTCTTACCCTTATCTTCCTACTGTCCTTGAGGAGCCTAGTTCTTCTTTCTTTGAAGGTGTTGGATATTTTGATTTATGCAATTTCCTTCTCCTTATTTCTTCAGTTCTGATGGTAAACACCATTTTTCATGAATATGCAGCTGCAGAGGATGACCCACTACCAGCCATAGATGGGCTAAGAATCACAGGTGAAGCTTTTCCTGGAAGTGAACTTCAAGCAAGTGGGTATTCCAGCAATGGGACCACAAGTTGTTATTTTGAGGTGCGATTTGTAGTTATGATTCAACACGTTCTGATGTTCTATCAAACTCCTGTCATTTTAATTTCTTCCTAGTCCACTACAACTTAAATGTTTGCAAAAAAATTGTGCACACAGTGGGTACGCCATTTGGAAGATGGATCGGTAAACTACATAGAAGGTATTTTCTACATGCTGCTAGAAGACTTTTATTTTATTTTTATGTCACTTTATTTGGCGTACCATGAGGGAATTAAAATTAACATTGCCATTGCCTGATGTAGGTGCAAAGCAACCCACATATTTAGTTACTGCTGATGATCTGGACTCTTTACTAGCCATAGAGGTCCAGCCTCTAGATGACCGAAAAAGAAAGGTAATCCTCTGTCTGACCATTCTTAACTGGAACTTTGTATTTTTTGTACATTCGAACCGATAGCTTTGTTTGGTTTTGTTTACAGAGCAGATTCTATAGGTTGGGAATAATATACTGTATGCATTTGGTTAGGATTTATCTCTGTATCCATGAATAAGGCGCCTAGACATGGTTGTTTGTTTGAAAACTATAAATGCGTTAATCATGCTAACTTTCAGTAGAGCACTCATAATGTTTGTTGTGGGAATAGTAAATCTTACCCGGCAGTCTCACCTTTTTCTACATGCCAAACTATCAAACACAATTCAAGTCAACAAAAGTCCAAGCACCTAGCCATGGTCAGCCAGTCAAAAGAGGAGAATAGATATAAAGATGTCACCATGAAGGCCCAAGTGAAAGAAGCTCAAGATGGTGAGACTGTTAGGAATTATGCAACTTGTATTTCTTGGGGCCATAGGCCAGTATATATACATGTACAGGTGCAGGAAGTATGCAGAAAACCCCTTATACAATGGCATAAACACAAAGGGCTACATGGCTATATATAAAATACTCTAACACCCCTCTTCAAACTCATGGTGGATCAATGAGTTTGGAGAGATAAAAATCCATACTCAGGGTCAGCGCCAGTGATGATCATGTCATCAACATATAGAAGAAGAGTCCAACCTCGAGCAGAAAGGTGGACAAACAACACCGGATCATGAGCACTCGCTAGAAAACCAGCGGCAGTCAGCACAGAGGCAAAACACTCAAACCAGGCGCGAGGGGCTTGCTTAAGGCCATATAAAGAGCGACAAAATGATAAACCATGCCGTCGGGAACAAAATACCCAGGTGGTGGCTACATGTAAACCTCCTCACGCAGCTCAGCATTAAGAAAGACATTCTTAACATCAAGCTGAGACACAGACCAGCGGCGAACAGAGGCCACGACAAATGTGCGAGCAGTGGCCATATGGGCCATGGGAGCAAAAGTCTCATCATAATTGCAACCATGCTCCTGCTGAAAGCCACGAGCCACAAGACGAGCTTTTTAATGCTCAAGGGAACCATCATAGCGGGTCTTAACCTTGTAGATCCACTTACAAGTGATGGGACGAACATGAGGAGAAGAGAACAAAATCCCACGTGCCGGTGCACTCACTCAAGAGCAGAAATCTCCTCTGCCATCACAAACTGTCATTCAGGATGAACAACAGCATCACGATAAGAAGTCGGCTCAAGGACAACAGCGCCGGTGCTTGGAAAACCAAGGTGATCAATGAGCGGAAGCGAATGAGGACGCAAACCATAAGTGGGCTGAGACGAGGAAGATGGCACATCAGTAGACGCATCCACAACACGCGGACGACGAGTATAATACTGAGGAAAAGATGGAAGAACACGAGGAGGAATTACCGGGATACGCAAAGGTGACGGAGAAGACACCGGTGATGAAGGTGTAGAACCCTGTTACAAGCGACATGAGGAAACCATGGGAGATGGCGGCGGCGGATCTGCAACCGCCGGAGAAGTAGGGGTAGTAGGACGAGCGAACAAGGGCTCAACAGGAGTGATAGGGGTGTCAGAAAAAGTGAGGAAAGATAGATCCTCCATGGAAAAGGTCAAGGAAGATGGACGCGGGTAGAGGGGACAAAACTCATCAAAGTCACATCCTGAGAAAAACGCATCCGACGACTAACAGGATCCCAACAACAATAGCCCTTATGTTCATCGCTATAGCCTAAGAAGACACACTCAACAGACTGAGTGGCCAGTTTGGTGTGTTCACAAGGGGCAAGAAGGACATAGCAAACACAATCAAACAAATGAAGCGCTGAATAATCAGGAGAACGATCAAAGAGGCGTTCAAAAGAAACGTCACCCTATAGAGCGGCGGATGGCTAAAGGTTGATGAGATAGGTGGCATTGGAGACAGCCTCAGCCCAAAAGTGAGGCGGAAGAGAGGAGGCATCAAAACACGAGCCATCTCAAGAAGGTGACGATGCTTGCACTCGGCCACACCATTCTGAGCATGAGCTCCAGGACAAGAGAACTGAGCAAGAGTCCCCTGCTCTGATACCATGTTAACCTTCAGCACTGGCCAACACAACCAAAAGTATGAACTGATGAAAAGGGTTAGGCAATCCACATACACTTCAACACACGCTCAAGTGTGACACGGAAAATCAACACGTGAATAGACTCAGAGGTGTGGCTCAAGAGGCTTATACATGGACAAAGGGGGGCAACAGATTTTTTTTGACAAATTGTGAAAGTCGGGACTTGAACTCAATGTTATGAAAGCAACTTATCTCTATTGAAGGCCCAAGGGGCATATATATGTTACACAAGACTTGAGGTGCAAGGAAAGTAAACATAGACTAATAAGGACTCCTAAACGAATACTAATACTTCCTCCCACCTACCACCACATGGCTAGGCTGGTCATGTCTCAAGGAACACTAGCCTATAAATAGGTCCCTATGGTCAATGTGCCCTCATTCACTCTCACTTGAATCAACTCAAGGGGAGAGGGCTAGAGCTTCAAGACCCGGTCGGGGAGCTCTAGTCTTGGATCCAAGGATTCCAGGGCGACTCAGACCGTCGTTGAGGAAGCGAAGTTTGGAGGCGATATTGGGAAGTCCCATACTTAAGTCGTCGATCAAGTCTCCCTCGGGTCTTCTCCTAATATAGGACTAAGACGCGCTCTGTCGAGGCGACCAAACCTATTTAAGAAACATCAATGTGGTAACCTTATCGGTGTACACTGCCTTTGCTATAAGGTCGTCGTACAACCCCGTCTCCCTCTGGTCTTCTCCTAATATAGGACTAAGAGGCG